CTCCTGGTTTGGTCTCTGAGCTGGGCTTTGGGGGCACGGGGTGCACAGGCTGGGGTAGCAGTGCTGGAGCTCCCTTTGCGGTTTGTTTTGGAGGTGGGAATGAACAGTGTGATTGCATTCAGGATGTGGGCTTGGGAGAGGGGACTGGATTGGACAGGGAAGTGCCCAAATCATGAGTAGGAAAGATGGAAAAACCCCTTTTTGGCGTGGTTTGAGACTGACTGCGTTCCCAGCTCTGCGTGGCTACTGGGGAGCTCCAGCTCAGGGGTGTATTACAATGCTGAGCCCCAAAAACAGCCTTGGGAGTCTGAGCCTAAATCCTTGTTTCTAAAGCATCAGGTAAAACAGAAGCTGTCCCCTCTTTCTACAGACCCTGCCTCTCGCCTGTCTTCAGGCCATCACTGCCACCACCTCCCTTCTGTCCCTTTGTGTCCCACCCACCAAAGCTCACAAACGAGGCAGCTCCCCTGTGCTCCCCCAGCTGCTGGCACTCACCAAAACAACCCGTGCTGCCCTGGCAATCTGCTGCATTTCCAAGAGCTCCGTGCCATCAGAAGCCCCCGGACAGCCCTGGAGGTGCTGGCTGTGAGCAGCAGGGTGAGGCAGCAGCTTTCTGGCAGCTGCTGGCTCTGCCAGCCCGCCCTGCTCCCCCTGAGCAAATGCCTTGTAGAGGCCTGAAGCGGTTTAGAGCACTCAATACTCAGAGGAGTGTTTAATATTGCATTACTGCAGGGTTTCACTGCTCTCCATGGAGGTTCCTGGGTGTCCAGGAGCCAGGCTCCATCAGACGTGGCACCGCAGCCTGGGGATGTTGCTGGATGTGACCCAAAATAAGCGTGAGTTCTTGCAATGCCAGCGTCACTCAGGGGTCACCTTGGGGCTGGAGACCCAGGTGAGCAGGGGAATTCCCTCTCCAAGCACAGCAGGTGCTCCTCTCACCCCAAAATTTTGAAGAGAGCGGGGAGGAGGTGCCCTTTCATCTTTTAACAGTGCAAACAGAGCAGAAGAGCAGGCAGCAATAGTAAAGGTAGCACAAATAAAAAGGCTTCTGTTGCCTTCAGGCCGTTTTCTCCTGGAGTAAGAACAGACTCAAATCACCTTTTGCAGGCTCATGGCAGCAGCCAATGGCAATACCACAGGAAGCCTTGGAACCCTTGGAGTGCAGTGTGCATTCCTTGAGCAGCCCTTCAGGGAGCTGAAAACAGCCTGGCTAACCCAGCAAGTGACGATGGGCAGGGAGAGGCACGGCAGGAGGAGCTGCTGCCACCCAGCAGTGCTCCTCAACAGCTTTCCTAAGCATGTCCTGAGTACCCACAGCCCCTGTGCCCTTCCTGCAGGGTTTGCTGCCAGGGCAGGGATGCAGGGAGCTCATGGAGCCCCGTCCTGCTGGGCTCCCTGCCAGCCTCGGGGGAGCTGGGGATCCCTGGAGCCCTGCTAAGCTCTGTGTGCAGCCTGCCTCTGAGAGATCTCCATTTCTGCCTGCTCCAGGAGTGCTCCTGAGCCTCAGGCTGAGCTCATTAGGCTGCAGCACAGCCAAGCTCTCTGCTGCTGCTGCTGAGAGCACAGAACGGGCTCTGGACGTTCTGGCTGCACATTTGTGCTGGATTAGAGCCCCTTGCCTTCTCTAGAGGTGCATGTGTACAGAGAAGCACTCTGAAATGAAAGGTGGAGTTATTCAAAGAGGAGTTAATCCTGCTGTAGGGGAGGCAATTGAGTGTTGACATGATTGGTGCCTGTAACTAATTAAACGCTGTGCTCACTGACAGGTTCTGTAAATCCTGTGGGCTGGGGATGCTCCACTTCTTCCTTTTCAAGGGACATCAGCACTTCAAGAGCCAGAGAGGGAGCAGAAGGTGGTGCCCCAGGGAGATCCAAGTGAACACCCTGATTGGAAGGGAAGAGCAGACGTGGATCAGGGAGAGATGAGCTGGAAAGGCTCCTCCGTGCTCCACTCTCCTCTCTGAAGGCAGATTTTGGGCTGGACACGTTTGCATGAGAACTGGCAGGCAAGCATTCCAACAGCTCACAGAGGGAGGGTGCACAGTGAGGTGTGAGCAGGGATTTGCTCTCCATTCCTCCCACCTCACCCTGAATCCCTGGGATCTGCAGTGCCCCACAGGGAGCAGCTGTGTGTTTGTGCTGTCAGAGAGGGGCTGCCAGGGGGGTTTGGAAATGCCCCAGCCAGCCAAGAGCCTTCAAATGGAGCTGCAGTTCTGGGGGGCACAGGGCTGTGAGAGCCCCTCCAGGCTGCCCCACACACGGGATTTACCTGCAAAAAATGGCTTTTCCTCAGCTCAGCAAAGTCAGGGCCTCGCTGGCATCTGAGGGAGGGTCAGGAGCTTTTCCAGGTCCCAGCTACTCACAGTGGTTTGGGGTTTTATCCCAGCCTGTCTCCTGTAAATTTGGAAAGCTTTAAAGCTCTTTTAAGCTCCTGAACCTTGCCTTCAGATTCCATTTGGAGCTTTCCCTCTGCTGCCTCCTTCCCCTCAGGTTCCAACAGAAGGAACCATCCTGCAGCAGTGCCACCTGGGCGTCCCCTGGACCCACAGCAGTGCCACCTGGGCGTCCCCTGGACCCACAGCAGTGCCACCTGGGCGTCCCCTGGGCCCACAGCAGTGCCACCTGGGCATCCCCTGGACCCACAGCAGTGCCACCTGGGTGTCCCCTGGACCCACAGCAGTGCCACCTGGGCGTCCCCTGGACCCACAAAAGTGTCACCTGGGTGTCCCCTGGACCCACAGCAGTGCCACCTGGGCGTCCCCTGGACCCACAGCAGTGCCACCTGGGCGTCCCCTAGACCCACAAAAGTGTCACCTGGGTGTCCCCTGGACCCACAGCAGTGCCACCTGGGCATCCCCTGGACCCACAGCAGTGCCACCTGGGTGTCCCCTGGACCCACAGCAGTGCCACCTGGGCATCCCCTGGACCCACAGCAGTGCCACCTGGGTGTCCCCTGGACCCACAGCAGTGCCACCTGGGTGTCCCCCTCTCCTGCTGGTGGAGAGGAGGCTCTAACTCCTGCAGAAAGGAACCCCACCCAGCCATGGGGCACTCCCTGGGTGTATTGCTGCTTTTTAATCCTGTTTCTCTGAGCAGTTTTCATCCTCTCTGCAGCCTTGCCCTGGTGATTTTCTGCATGGCCTCAGCTCCTGACCCTCCCAGAGCATTCAAGGTAGAATTATTTCCAGCACTTGTGATGGATAAGGCAGCCAGGAGAATGGATGCAGGGCATTAGGCATGGTCTGTGCTCACCTTCAGGAGCTGCCTGCCTGAAAACGTTGGGCAAAGAGTTTTCCTGTTTAAAAAAAATGACGTTTAAACACTGGTTTTAAGAGAGATCTTCCATCATAAATTGATTTCTGGTTCTGGAGTTAAAACAAGGAATCTAAAAAGCAGTTTGGGGAATTCAGGGGTAAAGGAAGATGATGGAGACTGCTCAGGGTTAACAGCACAGGTCTGTGCAGTGTTCCTCTAAGGGAGCAGTGTCCTGCCAAGAAGGGAGCTTCCCTCAGACCATCTCTGACTTCTGCTTTCATCTCCTTCTTTGTGCCAAGTGCCTGAAATTCCTGCACCACCGGCTGCTTCCCTTCTGCCTGTGGCAGAGATGTGGAACTCCTCTCCCTGTAAGTACAAACCTGGTGATGGATTTCTTTCTGTGTTTCACACCTCAGCTGAGGACTTTTTATTCTCACCAGATTCCTGGTTGTAGACTCGAATCTGAATTGCCCACATCCCTTGGGAGCATTTTCCACATGGAAATGTAACATTATACTGAATAGTTTGCATTATCTGGCACTTCCTTCCTTCCTTCCAAGAAGTAACCGGGCTGTGGGTGGTTTGGGTGGACAGTTTCCTCTTCATGGCTTTAGCTTTGGCTTTGATGATGTTGTGTAGGCACCTAAAGCTGTAATTAAATTAATACCCTTACAGACAATGTCTGATATTGCCAAACACACGAGCAAAAAACCCAGAATTTGTCTTTCTTCCACAGCACTTCTAGGGCCCTTTATTGCCTTTGGTGGGCCAATTTTTTACCTTCTATTTTCTAACAGGTTCGGAGAACTGGAGAAAGCAGCAGCACGTCACCTTCCCCACCAGCTGTGAGCTGTCACTGTCCATCCCTGTGTCAGGGTAGGAGCAGAAAGCAGCCAAAGCAGCAGCAGCAGCAGCAGCAGCATTTCCTGGGCTGCCCGAGGCACAGCAGCCTCTGCAAGGGGTGCTTGCCCAGGCTTGCAGGGATCTGGGCTGCAGCTCTCGGGAGGCACTCTGGATCTGTGCCTTGCACACCAGACACCGCCCAGTGCCACCTGGGACCACTGGTGTGGCACACAATGGCAGCATTTTCCTTCTGCTTCTCATGGAGGATTATCCCTTACCTGTGCCTTTGCTCCGGGATGCAAAAGCAGCAGCCGTGAGGCTCGGCCACTTCTTTGCTCGGTTGCCCTGGTGAATTTTGGAGCTGGAAGAGCGAAGCTTTGATGTTGGCTGGAATACTTGACTTTCCTGTACCTGTCTAACATCGTGATTAGGCTTTTGTGTTTGATCAAAACGAGAAATCTGCATTAAAGGGCTACACCAAGTACCTGTTGGCTTGATCTAAAGGAAAATAACAATCAGCTGTTTTCCCAGGGCTGCAGCACCGAGGAAATGAGCCCCACTCAAGCCTCAAGTTTAGCTTTTGTTGTAAGAACAACTGTAATGACCCATTTTAAACAATATTTCTACAGGTGGAAGTTCAGGTCTTCCGTACTGGATTTCAACAGAGCTGCAATCTCGCAGTTAAGAAATTGTTAGCCCTGCAATTAGGCACCTTTAATTGAATCCCTGCCACTTGCTTAATTATAGCAGCACTTCAGCCGCCCTGTGAGGAGCAGTGAAATCAGCCCTGCCCCACCTCTCCAGGCTGCCATTGGCTGCAAACCTGCCGGGCTGGACGGGCTGCAGCCAAGGGGATTTCAAAGCACATAAATAGCAGGGCCTCGGAGCAGCAGGAATGGATTTCCACCTGTTGGAGCCTCTCGCCACGAACCCGGCCTGCCGCCCCGGGAAACCGCTGGAGAAGCCATTCCGCGTCCTACAGTCCATGGCCTGTGTGAGCGGGTGACCCTGGCAGCATGGCTTGCTGCGTGCTGCAGATCGCCGGGCTGATCTTGGGCGGCGCGGGCATGGTGGGCACGCTGGCGGCCACCGCCATGCCCCAGTGGAGGGTGTCTGCCTACGTGGAGGGCAACATCGTGGTGTTCGAGAGCATCTGGGAAGGGCTGTGGATGGACTGCATCAGCCAGCTGGGCCTCAGGCTGCAGTGCAAGTTCTACGACTCGCTGCTGGCGCTGCCGCCGCCGCTGGAGGCCTCGCGGGCCCTCATGTGCCTGGCGGCGGCGCTGGCCGTGCCGGCCTTCCTGCTGGCCGTCACTGGGGTCAAGTACAGCCAGAGCCGCACGGAGGGGCCCGGGGCCGTCAGCGCCTTCGTCCTGGCGGCCGGGGCGGCCTTCCTGCTGACGGGCACGCTGGTGCTGGTCCCGGTGTCCTGGGCCGGGGGCAGCGTCGTCCGCGACTTCTACGACCCCGAGGTGCCGGCGCCGCTGAAGCGGGAGCTGGGGGCTGCGCTCTTCGTGGGCTGGGCCAGCGGTGCCCTGCTGCTGGCCGCAGGAGCCATGTACTGCCTCTGCTGGTGCTGGGCCGGCCCGGCCGCCGGGCACAGCTACCCCCGGCTGGCCCGAGCGGCGCGGCCGCGAGCGCCGGCCCTGGCCATCCATGCCTACGTGTAGCTGCTGGCCCCGGCCACCGAGAGCTCTGGGCCGCACGGGACCCTAAGGATCGTCCCATTCCAGCCCCTGCCGTGCCAGGGACACCTTCCGCCAGCCCAGGTGGCTCCAAGCCCCGTCCAGCCTGGCTTTGGACACGGCTGGGGATTCAGGGGCATGCTGTGATCTTCCTGCTTGACGTTGTGCTGATTGACTTCCTAATTTACCTCCAGGAGGAGTGATTTTGTTGCTTTGCTGTTTGCCGGTGACTCAGATCTCTGTCTCGGATGCCTGGCAGGACCTGTTCTCACACAGGCGCGTGGTTAGAGCACAGTCTGCATTTCTTTGGGAATGGGACAGCAGCAGTCAGCAGGCTCTCGGGGAAGATGAGGCTGGAGGGAAGGAGCTGCTGTGTGGCACCCAGTGCCCTGGCAGACCCCTGAGGGGCAGCCCTTGGGAGTGGAGTGTCCCTAAGGAGAGTGCCCCGGGAGAAGCCTGGAGCTGGCAGCAGGGCTCGGTGGAGGGAGAAGCCTCCAGCTTGCAGTCCTGGCACAGAGATGTTTGTGCTGCCCCAGCAGAGGCCTCTGGGACTGTCCGTGGATTTCCCTGATGCTTGTGGAGCTGCTGTGTCCTCCTCATCTCCTCTACAGGGATGTGGCTCATGGAACAGATTTTTAAGCATTTCCCCAGCGTTGGCTTCCCTGCTGCTTGCCACCCCTCCTGCCCTGTAGGCAGCTCCTCCTCCTCTGCAGAGCCCGGCGCAGCCCAGGAATGAGCCCACATGCTCAGGAAGCCCTGTGCCCATGCAAAGTGTAATTTCCCGGCAGGGAAGGCACAGGCAGTCCCCACCTGCCCATCGGAGCACACAGCTGCTGCCCACGGCTCCCAGCACGCCCAAAAAGCCCAGCCCTGACCTTGCTCCAGCTGCTCCGTGCTTGCCAGGCTGCCTTGGGAATGCAGCCTGATCCTGTCTGTCTGTCCTGCAGGATCCTACAGCATTTGCATGGTCTGGAATTGTAATGATCCCAGCTGAAAGCCTTGGAGGCTCCATGTCAGTGGTAAGTGCCCAAGGAAGGCCCAGCTCAGCAGGGTTGGTCTGGTTCTTTACCCAGCAGTGATGGATGGCAGCGTTTAAGGGACAATTTCGGGGCACAGGGCTCGGGCTGGCCCCTGGCTGTGCCTCTGCCTGCAGCGGCTGTTTGGGCTGAGGAGAGCAAAATGTCTCTGTGTATTCATTTGACTGCTCCATTTCAAAGAGAACATGGAAAGCTGCATTTAATTAAAGAAGCCTTTTATTAACTTGGCTTCAGATGAACCTGGATGAGGCAGCGCCGTGCTCCACAGAAATTCATTACACGGATTAACTCAGGAGCATTTGCATGGAAGGCAACCAGCTCAGATCTTGCAGGGGGAATTTTCCAGGCCCCACAAAACTGGTTTAATGTCTCCAGCTCATCACTGGAGCAGTCAAATCAGCGCTTATTAATTCTAGATGGAAATTGAAGAAAACACTCGTAAATAGATTTTTCTAGCACCAAACCATGGTTTTTTTCCTGTTGTCTCATGAAGTCTGTCACGGCAGCTGTCACTGACAGCTGATTTCAGTGGAGTCATTCTGGTGACTCTGGTAATAATTTCCACCACCCTGAGGAACTCCACCTCCTATTTTATTGTGATTTTTTTCTTATAATGCATATTTTGTTTAATATAGAACTATTTGGTGAGTAAGCCAGAACTGCACATTTTGGAGTAATTTAGACATGACATTTGTGATTAACAAAGCAGAGGATGAAGACATTTGCAATGCAAATCTGATACATATTTATGTGTAGGTAATGGATTTAAATGATGATGTATTCAGTGTAATGCAACTTTATGCAGATGTGAGTGCTTAAGAAGTAATTAAGTACAGTTTTGTATAGCATTAATTAGAGGATCCTGAATGCTTCCACTATCAGTGGGCTCATCTAGGACTCAAACTGGAACTGGGCGTGCCATTTGCCCTGGTAACTTTATTTTCAAAGAGCAGAAAGTTAAAACTGCTTTATTTGAGCATTTGACATCGATTTCAAAGCAAACCTGAGCTTTTTATGTCTGACACCAGCGCCTGATGACTAAATATTTCCCCATTTCTCTCTTTTTCCAGCTGATCAAAAGAGGAGCTCAGACAGAGTCTCTGAGCTCAGACAACCCCGTGCTCGTGTGTGGGCTTGGAGCCCAGCCCTGATCCCAAGGGCAGAGCCAGAGCCATGTCCGGGGCTGAGTGGCACACGTGGCACTTTTTGGGGACGTGGTGGAGCATTTTAGGCTCTCAGGAACACGTCCAAGAGCGTGTGGCACTAACATTTCAGAGTTTGCTGCAGGAGCAGCTGCCTCAGGTGGAGCTGATCTGCGGGACAGGGAACCCGGGGCTGCTTCAGCAGAGCTGGAATTCCCACATTGTGGATTCTGGTGGGGAAAAGCCCCCTTAGAGGATCAGTGGATGGTTTATGTCTGCAGACAAAGGGATTTGGCACTGCTGAGGGACACAGAGCTTCTCCTCTTCCTCTGCCCTGTTCAGATGCTCTGGGAGCAGGAGCAGGAAAAGGAAGCTGTAAGACTTTAGCAAAAACCCTGCAGTTGGATTTTGCAGCTGACCTGCTGCTGTGGATGAGTTTTCTGAAGGCAACAAGAAAAGTCTGGCTGCTGGAGGAGCTGGGACACATCCCCACGCCCAGGGCTGTGCCTGCTCTGGCACATCTCCTGCTCCTGCTGGGTTTTATCCAGCCAGAGCTGTGCCCACTGACCCTGAGCCCCCAGGGGCATTCCTGGAGCTCACCTGGATGCTGAAGTGTCCTTCCATGAGGCAGGTGAGGATGCTCAGGAACAAGAGCAAAGGCTTTTCTTTGGGAGGGAAGGAGCCCTGTGTGCCCCGGGAGGGGCCTGGAAGCAGGGTGGGAATAATCCCTGCTGGCAGGGAAGGGCCTGGCCTGGGGCTGTCACCGGTGTGCCTTGTGTCAGGCTCCTGGGGCTGCTCTCCTGCAGGGGGGAAGCTGCCCTGGTGCTCCGTGCCCACAGGCACAGCTGGCAGAGCCTTCAGCCTCCCTGCCCTGCTGGGAAAGATTAAATACCGTGGGTAAATCTCTGCTGTGATGCCCTGGTGTCTTTTTATGCTTTGGTGTTTGGTGATTGCAGGACAAAGTGACTTTGGAAACAAACGTGTCTAGCTGAGCTCTTGCTGTGTATTTGAAATAAACACATGGATTTGTCAGAAAAACACACAAATACCAGAGTGGGTTTTTTTACAAATTTATTTATTTTAACAGGAGACAGAGGAGTTGTTGAATCCTGCAGGGCAGTCAGAGGAATGTCCCTCCATCTTGCCTCCTGAACCCCCATTCTGAAAACCCCAAAATTCTACCTTTTCATCCTGTGACAAACTATAATTCTACTTAAACTTTTGTGGCTTTTAAGTCTTCACATAAAGTTGGTAATTTTCTCTGTGGGTTAAAATCCACGGGTGTCTTTGATTTTGTGCCAAGGTCTCTGATCCCCCTGCCAGGGGCTGGAGTCCTCCAGGGCAGCCAGAGGAAGGCCCTGGCTTCTGACGAGGAGTCCTGCAGCTTTATTTGAATAAAATATTCAAATACCCCACAGCCCGCGGGGTTTTCTCTCTCTCTCTCGGTTTGGGAGGGCACCGCCTCCTTTGATCCCGAATTCCCGGCTCCGCTCAGAGCTTCACCTGCCGCAGAGCCCTGCCCCTCAGGCTGCCACGTTCCAAACCTGCCGCCCCCAGCCAGCAGGACAGCGGGACCCCTTCCAAAGGCAGTGATACCCACCCCTCACCCCCGGGTCTGCCCTCCCAGTCCCTCCTCATCTCGATTTACCAGCCCTGGTCATTGCTGCCTTAACCCTTTGACCAAGATGTGAACACCTGGAGCAGCCCCGCCCGCCCCTCCTGTGTGTGCTCCCTGCAGGTGTGGCAGGTAAAGCAGAGCAAAGCTGGCACTGCCGCTTCCATCAGCCGCTGGAGAGCCCAGAGCTCCCCGTTCCAGCTGAGAAAGGCAAATCTGCGGGGACTGGAGACCCTGACCCCAGTGGGGCGTGTCCACTGGTGTCCAGCTGTCCTGGCTGCTGTCCTGCTGTCCTGCTGGGTGTTCTGGGCACCAAAGGCCAGCGGCAGCGTCTCTGCGGCCGGGGCTTCCTGCCCCACTAATCCCAAACTGACTCAAGGCAGGCTGGAAGAGAGAATAAACTAAATTATAGAATAAATTTCAAAAGACTGAAATGACCCCAGGTAACCCCTGTGACCTAAAGTAACCCTGATTGTGACCTCAGACGACCCCTACACCAATGACCTGGAGTAACCTCAACTGTGACCTCAAATGACCCCTACGACCTGGAATAACCCCGATCGTGACCTAAAATGACCCCGAACGGGGTCTGAAATGACCTAAAGTAACCCTGGAGAAACCAAAAAATTCTCAAATGACCTCAAGTAACCCCTGTGACCTCAAATGACCCCTACGACCTGGAGTAACCTCGCTCGTGACCTCAAACGACCCCTACGACCTGGAGTAACCTCGCTCGTGACCTCAAACGACCCCTACGACCTGGAGTAACCTCGCTCGTGACCTCAAACGACCCCTACGACCTGGAGTAACCTCGCTCGTGACCTCAAACGACCCCTACGACCTGGAGTAACCTCGCTCGTGACCTCAAACGACCCCTACGACCTGGAGTAACCTCGCTCGTGACCTCAAACGACCCCTACGACCTGGAGTAACCTCGCTCGTGACCTCAAACGACCCCTACGACCTGGAGTAACCTCGCTCGTGACCTCAAACGACCCCTACGACCTGGAGTAACCTCGCTCGTGACCTCAAACGACCCCTACGACCTGGAGTAACCTCGCTCGTGACCTCAAACGACCCCTACGACCTGGAGTAACCTCGCTCGTGACCTCAAACGACCCCTACGACCTGGAGTAACCTCGCTCGTGACCTCAAACGACCCCTACGACCTGGAGTAACCTCGCTCGTGACCTCAAACGACCCCTACGACCTGGAGTAACCTCGC